AATGTTTTTACTAGAATTACGTGCCTATACGAACAGTACATTATGGTACCATTTCAGAGCTTTAAAACAATGATATTTTTAAATGGTGACTAGAATGTATCTTCTATACCGCCAGAGTCGACGGCATGCTATTTCACTCTCGCAGTGGTCGATTCTGGTAATAGATGGCACTTTATCCTTATTTCTTCACCTCTGATAGAGGATGGTTGTTTAGGTTTCGTTCGTTGTCCCTCCTGAGGACCAGGCCTAGACCATGCCGGTGAGTTTCCAAAGAACACGAAACATCTGTTCATGGTTGGCCGTCTATTTTTACTGTACTGATTCTGTATAATGTGGTTTTAATGCGGTAGGTACATAAAATATGCTCGTAATTTGAAGACAAGAACGGCGGACTAATTTTCTAATAATCTGCATAGTTTTTGCTGAAATCATCGTTACGCACAAGTAGTTACTACAATGGTTAGGTATTTTAGAACGTCCACGCAGAAATTACGTCAGTCACAGAAGTGTCCGACCATAAAGGCAAACCGTTATTGCTGGTTCAGGAGAAAGAGGCCACACACACAAAATTCCTCAAAAGCAGAGCTAATTCTACTAGTTCAACCCATCGCTCAACCTTATTGGGTATCATTTGGAAATCATAGTATTTTCAGCTCGAACAAGTCGAGAAGCAGTAGAAAATTCCATCCCACGGTTATGTGTCCCAGAGGCTCTCGTCGTCGAGATATATAGGGTGGTAATACCTCGGTCGACGGAAGTCTTTTCAGTGCCTACAAAGCCATATAATGATATACTTATCAGGGGCGTAGCCATCCTAGGGCAAACCGGGGCAGTGCCCCGGGGCCCAGGCTTATGGGGGCCATGCTAATATAACCTAGGTATACTAAAAAGAAAAATAAATAATAAATATAATGATAAATAATGTTTTTTTTTGTAAAACGCTACATATTTGAGGAAAACGCTTGCGTTCCTAAATGTATGTAGCTATAATCCGTCGGACCGCGGCGGGCTTGGCACCACCGCCTTAATATTACGTCTCGTCTTTGGGGATTCCCCGATCTATTGTTTTGATGATTTTAACTACCCAGCGTGCCCTATGTGATATTGATATGTGTCGTAGTCGTGCCGTGGTGCCCGGCGTGGTGTAAAATATCATTACTATACTAAGTGACATATAAATTCGAACACCCAGTTTAAATGGTTTTATTTTGATAAAATTTTGTATAAGTACTTGATGAAGCATAATAAGTAAATGATAAAAATTTCAAAATGATCGCACTGCTTCAAAGCCCTTTGACCTTTAATAATGTGTGGATGCTCCCTGATGTGCTACGCATTCTCCAACGCGCCTAGGCATGCTTCTGATCAGGTGGTCAATGTCCTCCTGTGGTATCTCATTCCAGGCAACCACCAACTCCTCTCGAAGTGCTTCTAGAGTCTGAGGAGGACGTTGCAAATTGAGCAATCTCCTACCCATCATATCCCACACGTGCTCAATTGGGGATAAGTCGGGAGATCATGGTGGCCATGGTAACAATGTGACATCGTTATGTTGAAAGAAGTCTATTGTGACTCTTGCAACATGTGGTCGGGCATTATCTTGTTGGAAAGTTGTATCTGCCAGGGTGTCAAGATAGGGTAAAAGATGGGGTTCTAAAACTTCGTGGATATAACGCTGCGCGTTCATGTTACCTCTGATGAAGATTAAAGGTGACCTGGAACCATAACTCCAACAGTGTGATGAACATGTCTTTCAACAAAAAACTGTGGATTCCTCCTTTCACCACGTCGTCTTCTAACCCTGGCACGACCATCGTACAGGCCTAAACAAAATCGAGACTCGTCACTAAAGACAATACTGTTCCATACCTGATCCCAGAGTGACCGTTGTCTGCACCACTCAAGGAGATTACGTCGGTGTTCTCGAGTTAAAGGGAGGACCCAGTGTGGCCGGTATGAAAACAAGCCAAAACTTCTCATTCGTCGGTAAACACTTCGCATGCCAATAGGTCTTCCGTGTTCTGCAAGCCATTCATTTGCAATGGACCAGGTAGTGGAGAAACAGTCCCTTAAGGCCAATAATCTTAGGCGGCGATCTTCACGGTCTGTTGTTCTACGGCGGCGTCCAGTGACCCTTGCTCTTTGCGTACGGCCTTCTCGAAGCCATGCCTGACAACACCTAACCACAGTGTCTACACTTCTTTGCACTCTAACTGCAATTGCCCGAAAAGAAAGTCCAGCTTCCCGAAGTCCCACTATACGGCCCCTATCAAACTCACTAAGTTGACGAAATCGTACAGGTCTCCGTACTCTAGGCATCGTAACCGATCGTAAAGGATGTCAAGAACCAAAAACCGCCAACGTTGATTCTTTACTGCGGCTGAAATATTCATTTTTAGAGCGTTAGTGAATTAAAAAAAAGCAGTATAAAAACCGGAATGTCCAACTGATAAGGCTGAACATTTTTTTACTTGTTATTTACAGTAAGATAAATACATTCACCAACTTTTATTAAAATAAAACCATTTAAACTGGGTGTTCGGATTTATATGTCACTTAGTATATATTTGTATTGTGAATATTGTGACTATTGTGTCTCGTTATAATAAGGTACCTATTAGAAAAATAGGTAAGTGTAAGTTATATTACTTAATGAGTAAATGGGTCGATTTTGATTTGTGCGTAATTTTGTTTGTATATGTACATTTGTCCATTACCTTTCTGAGTAAAGGCGCCCGCAGAATTTCCGTAACGTAAGACTTAAGACTTAAGTTTCATTTAAGACTTAACCGGAAGGAATTATACAGAATTCTGATAAGGTGATTTATAAAGTATAGTAAAGACTTAAGCCTTAAGGCATGAAAAATTACCTTACAGCTTAGTGCTTAAGTCTGGGCTTAAGTCTTATGTTACGGAAACTCTGCGGGCACCTTAAACCCGACACTGAATTCGAAAAGTTTCTTAAAGACAAAAAATTATTTATTGACTGTTTAAAAAATATCGACTAATTTTTTTTTCTCTTAAGTATATAGTATATCGAACAAATTGTTAGAAATGACGAAAAAAGTCCTGTAAAAGTTACAGCTCTTAAATATTAATATTTTGAGGTGCCGCATCGCAAATTTCAATTTCCCATTTGATTAACATGGGAAAAAATTGTTTTCAACTTTTGAATTTTGAAAATGCCGAATATGTACATTGTGCAAGTCACAACTCAAATTTAGTAATAAATGATGCAGTAAATTGTTGTAAAGAGGTGATCGCAATATTTTGCCACTTTGCAAAATGCTAAGTGACATATAAATCCGAACACCCAGTTTAAATGGTTTTATTTTAATAAAAGTTGGTGAATGTATTTATCTTTCTGTAAATAACAAGTAAAAAAATTTTCAGCCTTATCAGTTGGACATTCCGGTTTTTATACTGCTTTTTTTAATTCACTAACGCTCTAAAAATGAATAATTCAGCCGCAGTAAAGAATCAACGTTGGCGGACTTTGGTTCTTGACATCCTTCACGATCGGTTACGATGCCTAGAATACGGAGACCTGTACGATTTCGTCAACTTAGTGAGTTTGATAGGGGCCCTATAGTGGGACTTCCGGAAGCTGGACTTTCTTTTCGGGCAATTTCAGTTAAGAGTGCAAAGAAGTGTAGACACTGTGGTTAGGTGTTGTCAGGCATGGCTTTGAGAAGGCCGTACGCAAAGAGCAAGGGGCACTGGACGCCGTCGTAGAACAACAGACCGTGAAGATCGCCGCCTAGGATTATTGGCCTTAAGGGACCGTTTCTCCACTACCAGGTCCATTGCAAATGAATGGTTTGCAGAACACGAAAGACCTATTGGCATGCGAAGTGTTTACCGACGAATGAGAAGTTTTGGCTAGTTTTCATACCGGCCACACTGGGTCCTCCCTTTAACTCGAGAACACCGACGTAATCGCCTTGAGTGGTGCAGACAACGGTCACTCTGGGATCAGGAATGGAACAGTATTAGCTTTAGTGACGAGTCTCGATTTTGTTTAGGCATGCACGATGGTCGTGCCAGGGTTAGAAGGCGACGTGGTGAAAGGAGGAATCCACAGTTTTTTGTTGAAAGACATGTTCATCACACTGTTGGAGTTATGGTTTGGGGTGCTATAGCTTATGGTTCCAGGTCACCTTTAATCTTCATCAGAGGTAACATGAACGCGCAGCATTATATCCACGAAGTTCTACAACCCCATCTTTTACTCTATCTTGACACCCTGGCAGATCCAACTTTCCAACAAGATAATGCCCGACCACATGTTGCAAGAGTCACAATAGACTTCTTTCAACATAATAATGTCACATTGTTACCATGGCCACCAAGATCTCCCGACTTATCCCCAATTGAGCACTTGTGGGATATGATGGGTAGGAGATTGCTCAATTTGCAACGTCCTCCTCAGACTCTAGAAGCACTTCGAGAGGAGTTGGTGGTTGCCTGGAATGAGATACCACAGGAGGACATTGACCACCTGATCAGAAGCATGCCTAGGCGCGTTGGAGAATGCGTAGCACATCAGGCTGCATCCACACATTATTAAAGGTCAAAGTGCTTTAAAGCAGTGCAATCATTTTGAAATTTTTATCATTTACTTATAGTATTATGCTCCATTAAGTACTTATACAAAATTTTATTAAAATAAAACCATTTAAACTGGGTGTTCGGATTTATATGTCACTTAGTATATATTCTTTTTTTGGTTTAAGTATAATAGATGGGATCTTTTAGCTTCTTTTACCAGTGAATCCAAGACAACTGTAAAAACATTAAATCCAACACGTTGGTCAGGAAGGATATTGTCTAATAGTGGTGTCAAACTTCGTTATCTTGATATTGTTAAATCTTTAACAGAAATAGAGTTACAGTCTCATAAAAAAGAAGAAAGAGAAGAAGCTTCTTCCATTAAAAAACAAATGTGTTGCTTTGAATTTGTATTTATTTCAACAATGATGTATAAAATCTTTACCCAGGTTAACTTCGCCTCAAAGGTCCTTCAAAAGAAAAATATTGATATAAGTGAATCTGTGACTGTTTTAGAACAAGTAGAAAAGAACCTTACTGAATTAAGATCTTCTTATGGAATGTTAATGATTGAAGCTACGGAGCTCGCTAACAAATGGAATATTCAACCGGAACCGGAATTCAAAAACGCCAACCTAAAGTTAAAAAACACTTTGACGAACGAAGTGATTACAGATTTAATAATACTCAAATTTTATTTAATATGAATGTTTTTAATGTTGTTATGGACCGTGTTCTGACGCAGATTTCTAATAGATTTAGGAGCATGAAAAAAATTAATAAATTGTTTGATTTACTTCTTCCAAAAATTATATTAAGTTGCGATGAAACATCCATTAAAAATAAATGTACAGCCATTTATAACAAATATCCTGAAATATTTGATTTAAATAATTTAATATTTCAGTATACCAATTTGTTAAATGTTTGTAAAACAGACCTTAAGAATGATCTATCAATTAAGGAATATTTCAATATAATTTTAAGTAAGTATGGAGTACCTGAAAGCGACTTAAGTGAAGTTTACTTAATGTTCCTTTTACTTTTTACGTTGCCTGTAACTACTGCAACCGTTGAAAGATCATTTAACAAGCTAAAACTTATAAAAAACATCTTAGATCTACTACAGGCCAGATTAGATTAAGCGATCTTGCTTTGCTCTCTATAAAGAATGAAGAAGCCCAAAACCTTGATATAAATGATATTATCAACGAATTTGCAAATAGAAAAGCAAGAAGAAGGGATTTTTAATTTTATTATTGTTTAATTTTTAACTTTTATTATTTCATTATTTTAATTTGTGTTACTTTTTGTTTTTATGACAATAAATAATTTTTTCATTATAACATGATATTTTTTATTCTTAAACATACTCATGAGGGCCCCCAAAAAATGTTTGCCCCGGGGCCCCATGACTTCTAGCTACGCCACTGATACTTATGTGTAAGAGCCGTTTTACACACAAGAGAATTACTCTGAAAATTATGGTCATAATTATGCCGAAAATTTTTGCTGTCGTATTACACGTAAAGAATTCTTATGAAAATTTTCATGGTAAAAATATAAAACCCGTTCTATAGAATATGCGCGAGAATCGGCGCAGAGGGTTATTTCCGTGCATGTCATTATCAAATGTCAACGTCAACAACATAACCTCACTTAACATTTGTGGGTGTGGTCCTGTTCGAATCTACGAAGAAGCGTTCATTGTTATTGTTTATTCATAATGTCGTGGAATCGCGAAGAAGTTACACTGTTGTTGGAGGAGTACCAAAAATGGCCAAACCTGTGCAAGGTGCAGTCACCCAATTACAAAAACAGAAATTTGCGGCGTCAGGCTCTGGATGCAAAAGTCCAAGCATTGAGAAGTTTTATAATATTAACCAAGATCTCGATTTCAAAAATAAATTTAAATCAACGGCGTCTGTTGTCTTTCCGATTATATTGGGCGTCATACCCGTTAAGGTTATGTCCATTCGAAAATATTACTCTAATGCGCAGGCGTATCATATGAATTACTCGGAAATTTTGTTTGCTTGTGTCATACAGCTTGTAGAGGAAATCTTCAATATTTTTTCCATGCAAATTTTCGGCATAATTATGACCATAATTTTCGGAGTAATTCTCTTGTGTGTAAAACGGCTCTAAGACTGAAGGCACCTCGGATTTTCCATGGACGAATACCACTCATACCCGTATCTCTTCAGTCATCGATACAAAAGTTTACTGGCCCAAAGGTCTGTAACCCCGCATCTATATCTTGAAAATCTCTACTATAAGCGTTGAGAAACAGGTCGCGAAATCGGTTTGATTTATCGACACTTCAGTCCTTCAGGAAGCACTCCTTTTCAAATGATTGACATTGCTTTCCGTTACATCTTTCCCGTTGTTTCCATTTTCATGATTGGTACCCGAGTTCTTATCAATCTTGATAGATATGGTTTGAAAGAAAAGGTTCAATAAATGAGAGTAAAAAGCCTTTTACAATATTGCTTCCGTGAATTGAGAAAAGGAGTTAAAAAACTAGCTGAAAATGGTCAAACCTCTACATCAAATTCTCTAACAAAGAAAATTGTATTTTTTTGTGTTGCTCGACCTCAAGTTTCGATACCACATAACTGAATTTTCAGATTAAGGGGTCAGGATTACTAGTACCTAGATACTAGAATTGAGTGAAAGTCAGATAAAATAGGCATTAACTAATCAAGCATAGTAAAGCAAATTAATAAACTCGCGAACTATAATTTAAGTAGATATCTGAACATATTTATATGGCCTGTAATTTGAGTCACATTAGAAATGGATTACACAGGGTCAAATGAAGCACTGCAATGCTCAACCTTCACCGTACAGGTAGATTAAATTTATATATGCATTTCCGATAAAAAAGATCGACTACAGGCAACAGTATCCACGTATTTTGAAATCATCGTTTTTATATCAACGTTATTTAATGACTCTATTTGCATAATAATCTAGATCGAAGGTGAAATCAACACACTGATTTTTCGGCTGGATTGCAACGCTCTTTCTAAAGGAGTGTAAGATTCGAAAAATACGTTATATTAGGATAATCATTCAAAGCAATAATAAATAATTATCGAAAAGCATTGTGCGTAAAGCAAACAGCTGCTGAGCTGCTTATATATTTTTTCGATTTCTCTCCTGGAGGACCATTACTGTTTCGTGCCACGCAGATCCTTGCTCGAAGGCCGCAATTTGATGGAGTAATTTATTTTTTCGTATATCCAATTCAAAACGAAACAGTAAGTAGTTCTCTACGTTACGAAAACAATACGGTAAAACCTGACATTACAATTATACTAAGTGACATATAAATCACACACTCAGTTTACATGGTTTTATTTTAATAAAATTTTGTATAAGTACTTAATGAAGCATAATAAGTAAATGATAAAAATTTCAAAATGATTGCACTGCTTTAAAGCCCTTTGACCTTTAATAATGTGTGGATGCACCCTGATGTGCTACACATTCTCCAACGCGCCTAGGCATGCTTCTAATCAGGTGGTCAATGTCCTCCTGTGGTATCTCATTCCAGGCAACCACCAATTCCTCACGAAGTGCTTCTAGAGTCTGAGGGGACGTTGCAAATTGAGCAATCTCCTACCCATCATATCCCACACGTGCTCAATTGGGGATAAGTCGGGAGATCTTGGTGGCCATGGTAACAATGTGACATCATTATGTTGAAAGAAGTCTATTGTGACTCTTGCAATATGTGGTCGGGCATTATCTTGTTGGAAAGTTGGATCTGCCAGGGTGTCAAGATAGGGTAAAATATGGGGTTCTAGAACTTCGTGGATATAACGCTGCGCGTTCATGTTACCTCTGATGAAGATTAAAGGTGACCTGGAACCATAAGCTATAGCCCCCAAACCATAACTCCAACAGTGTGACGAACATGTCTTTCAACAAAAAACTGTGGATTCCTCCTTTCACCACGTCGCCTTCTAACCCTGGCACGACCATCGTGCATGCCTAAACAAAATCGAGACTCGTCACTAAAGACAATACTGTTCCATTCCTGATCCCAGAGTGACCGTTGTCTACACTACTCAATGCGATTACGTCGGTGTTCTCGAGTTAAAGGGAAGACCCAGTGTGGCCGGTATGAAAACAAGCCAAAACTTCTCATTCGTCGGTAAACACTTCGCTTACCAATAGGTCTTCCGTGTTCTGCAAACCATTCATTTGCAATGGACCTGGAAGTGGGGAAACGGTCCCTTAAGGCCAATAATCTTAGGCGGCGATCTTCACGGTCTGTTGTTCTACGGCGGCGTCCAGTGCCCCTTGCTCTTTGCGTACGACCTTCTCGAAGCCATGCCTGACAACACCTAACCACAGTGTCTACACTTCTTTGCACTCTAACTGCAATTGCCCGAAAAGAAAGTCCAGCTTCCCGAAGTCCCACTATACGGCCCCTATCAAACTCACTAAGTTGACGAAATCGTACAGGTCTCCGTTCTCTAGGCATCGTAACCGATCGTAAAGGATGTCAAGAACCAAAATCCGCCAACGTTGATTCTTTACTGCGGCTGAAATATTCATTTTTAGAGAGTTAGGGAATTAAAAAAAAGCAGTATAAAAACCGGAATGTCCAACTGATAAGGCTGAAAATTTTTTCACTTGTTATTTACAGTAAGATAAATACATTCACCAACTTTTATTAAAATAAAACCTTTTAAACTGGGTGTTCGGATTTATATGTCACTTAGTATATTTTATAAAATGTTAAAAATCAACAAAAGTAATTTCTTTTTATATGATAACAGATTATAGTAATCTAGTGTAAGTTAGTGGTACTCTAGTAATTTTAAAAGTGAACTGTTTTGTCTGGATATGCTTAAAAAAACCCGATCTATACAAGAACTTTGATACTCGTTCCGAAACAGTTGGGCACCACTTGTCTTAAAAAGAAGGCGGAATAGTAGAATTTTAAACCTGTTAGACAGAGTTATGTTATCGAGAATTTTCTTTTTTTTACGTTAGCTTAGTGAATCAATCTGCGATAGTGGAGGACTTAAAATTTTGGAGAAAATTTCCCGCACAAATGGTGTATGACTTAACATTACCTCAGTATAGTTTAAAATACATTCGTATTATTGATAACGTTTTCAGTCATGAAAGATTGAATCAACATCAAAGTATCTAAGTGTTTGTCACTTTATCAACTGAACTTTGTCTCAAATTTGACCACTAACCGATTTTATTAACTGATACCTAGGCGCTCCTTTCCCTTCCAGAAGATATTATTTCTGCATATGTCCCTGAATTTATTGTAATGAATGATGTCCCAATTCCATGACCTTCTCCGAAGCGAACTAGCATTCCATTGCCGCCAGTGAAGTAATGCAGATGTATAATTCAAATTAACCCGCTTTACCTAAAGACCTTAAGTCTGGAAACCCACATACATACATCGTATCGATTTATTCCACTTTACGAATATACACACCAGTCCTAAACTAAATTCTGCAGCCACGTTTTGAGGTTAAATCGATTACTTCTTCCAAGCACGGAAGCTCTTCCCATTACATAACTGCTACGACCCTAGATAAATTACAACCTACGCCAGAAACCTAAAATTGCTACGCCAAGCGACAAATCATCGTCTAGAAAGTGAAGTTAAGAGCTGACACCGCAAAATCACTTACATGGATCGTAGACGGCCGCGAAAACAATCGCACACGCTATCACTGACCGCAGCATTCTTGATCCTGCCCCTGATGCAACTCATATAAGGATGAAAGAAAAGGCGCGTTCTGTTGCGGGAATTACTGGATTTAACTGGTGGCCGATTTGAAAAGTTGACTGTGAATGTTGGTGGTAGTGTCGGACATCGGCAGAGGGAGTGACGTCACCGCCCCACTCCAGGGAGACAGCGCCGCGGCGCGGTGACGTCACGGCCCGCGCCGTCGCGAGGATCGATCCGGGAGGCGCGTGCCAGCCTCCGGGCTGTAAGGGAGCTCAGAATGCCGGGTAGTTTCACCGCCAAGCTTACGAGGGAAGGCGTATAAATTGTATCCCGCATTCGAAACTTTGTACGGTTGATTAATATATTCCACTACAGGAGTAATTCGCATATGCTTACAATCATACAGGGTGAGCGAATAGAGAGTGGACGGAGGATTGTAGGCTAATTAACACATGCTTTTAGATTTATTCAGTGGATTATGGTTGGCAGACATGAAATCTAAAATATATTCACTTGAATTACGAATTAAATTTGTGTGAGACTTTATGTAACACACTTGGTATATAAATCAACCGTTTAACCACAATCAGCCATTTTTTAAAAAGTGTAGGCTAGAAAACAATTGCATATCGCGATCGTTATAAGACTTAGGCGGCTGTGATTGGTGGTGATACTGACCTTGATAGGTACACTAGCTTAAGTCAGACGACCAGAGTCCAATTCCTTTTACTTTCGTGGAATCTGTTACCACAATTTGGAATACTACCTTATTTTTCATTCATTCGAATGTCAGATTTGATCACCTTTTTAACATTGTTAGTATCTATCTCTGACAATTTTATTTTAATTTCACATAAAAAAATGAACTCATAAGACAAACCATATTTCTAATAAATTTAAAATACAAAAATCGGCTAAATTCGTCGAGCGAACAAGAATGAAGTATTTATTTTTCGTTTCCTTGTACCCAAAAACGGGTGAGTTTAAGATTTGCACTTTCACCATAATTATCGAATATCTGTTTTACGCTTTCATCTTATCTAAACTAGATTTTATCTCAAGAAACCAAGCGCGGATCTAGGGAGAGGTCATGGGGATCACGGTCACCCTGGTCAACTCCAGTTTGAAAACTATATTAACGACTTTCCAATCTCTTTGGTACATTTAATAAAATACAGACCTTTCGCAAATACGTAAAGGATACAAACATTTAAAAATTACCAGATTTGGTGAAAAATCACAGCACCTGGCAACCCTGTTCAATTGATAAGCCCAGCGATGATGATGTGGATATGAGACAGTTGCCTATACGTTCAGCTTTACGTATATATACTAAGTGACATATAAATCCGAACACCCAGTTTAAATGGTTTTATTTTAATAAAATTTTGTATAAGTACTTAATGAAGCATAATAAGTAAATGATAAAAATTTCAAAATGATTGCACTGCTTTAAAGCCCTTTGACCTTTAATAATGTGTGGATGCACCCTGATGTGCTACGCATTCTCCAACGCGCCTAGGCATGCTTCTGATCAGGTGGTCAATGTCCTCCTGTGGTATCTCATTCCAGGCAACCACCAACTCCTCTCGAAGTGCTTCTAGAGCCTGAGGAGGACGTTGCAAATTGAGCAATCTCCTACCCATCATATCGCACACGTGCTCAATTGGGGATAAGTTGGGAGATCTTGGTGGCCATGGTAACAATGTGACATCATTATGTTGAAAGACGTCTATTGTGACTCTTGCAACATGTGGTCGGGCATTGTCTTGTTGGAAAGTTGGATCTGCCAGGGTGTCAAGATACTGTAAAAGAAAGGGAGGACCCAGTGTGGCCGGTATGAAAACAAGCCAAAGCTTCTCATTCGTGGGTAAACACTTCGCATGCCAATAGGTCTTCCGTATTCTGCAAACCATTCATTTGCAATGGACCTGGTAGTGGAGAAACGGTCCCTTAAGGCCAATAATCTTAGGCGGCGATTTTCACGGTCTGTTATTCTACGGCGGCGTCCAGTGCCCCTTGCTCTTTGCGTACGGCCTTCTCGAAGCCATGCCTAACAACACCTAACCACATTGTCTACACTTCTTTGCACTCTAACTGCAATTGCCCGAAAAGAAAGTCCAGCTTCCCGAAGTCCCACTATACGGCCCCTATCAAACTCACTAAGTTGACGAAATCGTACAGGTCTCCGTACTCTAGGCATCGTAACCGATCGTAAAGGATGTCAAGAACCAAAATCCGCCAACGTTGATTCTTTACTGCGGCTGATTTCATTTTTAGAGCGTTAGTGAATTAAAAAAAAGCAGTATAAAAACCGGAATGTCCAACTGATAAGGCTGAACATTTTTTCACTTGTTATTTACAGTAAGATAAATACATTCACCAACCTTTATTAAATTAGAACCATTTAAACTGGGTGTTCGGATTTATATGTCACATAGTATAAATATAATAGCGATTTTGCTTTCTTAGGCTTGGTAACACTGCATATCAGTTAGTGCATTACTAGATATTTATCCACATGCATTTTGTGATCAAAGACTGAATCGATATTCAGATATTCGGACAGGAATACAAGGAAAGATCTTTAAGGTCGCCTTTAACACTCTGTTCAAATCTCATTCTCTTCATGTATAAGCTGTGCATTACTTTATGTTTTTAACTCGTCTTATTTGTAAAACCTAGCATTTATTTCGTCAGAGACGGACTTGCCACAAACGCAAAATATTGGCTATTTCTCTACACCTTTGTATAATAATGTCTTAAAAACAACATTTTTGGAAATGGGAACGTGCCTCGTTAAGGTTATTGACTGTTCCATCTATATCAATTTAATGCTATCTGCGATACTTTCAAGATATTTATTCATGTTTGATTTCGGGAAAATCAACCGTTTTTAAGAAAAAATACCCATGGCTTTTAGGATTGCTGATGAGGTTCTGTTAAGAGAATTACAAAGTTTTTAAAACGGGGGAACCAGTTTTAGGAAACGGTTCCATAATTTACAAAACTGTAGCAAAATACTGAACAAAGATCCTGTGACCCCCCAGAAATAAATGCCGGATCCGCCATTGCACGAAATATCAAAATATTAACTACTATACCATAAAATCCGACTGCCACTATTCTCATCATCGAAACGGTAAAAGAGACAAAGTTGGTTAAACGGGGGAAAATTGCTAGTTTGCTGCTCTTAACAACGGTAACAGCGTATACGCATTTTGGAGGAGGATTTAAATCAATCTCAGACCATCATATTTTATGGAGGTACAATTCCTCCGACCCTGGTATAATGAATACTCGATGCGTAATACTGGTTGCCTATGAGCGGGCAAGTTAGCTGTCATCATTAATATATTTTTAACTAACCTAACTTTGCAACTTTGCGTGACTGTTGTCATTTGATTGTATTTGTGAGGATAAAAACTCTCGGCAGATTTCAAAAAATGCATAATGGATTTAGCTTCATCTTTCAACAAACTTTCCGTTGACGACTTTCCAGGGAAAGTACACGTCTTCGCAGCTCTCGTTGGAGACCACCACACCGAATTCATCCTGGTTAATTTCTCTAATGCCATACATTTGTTCATCACACAATACTATAAAATCGGAAATATCTATCAAGTTAAAGTAGATCTACCCGAGAACGGAATTTCAATCGCTGAACCCGTCTACAATATCAAGCAACTTTTGGGTGCCGAAAACATTGCAGCTGAGGTAGCACTCAGATACCTGACAGAAAAGCTGAAGATCAGGAAAAAACTGCTAGCATCACTGACTCTCAAGAACTTTGATAAAGAAAACATTGACACTATTGTAGAGGTTATAGTGGAGTACAAGAAAAATGGCTCTGGTCAAGAGGGTACGAAAAGCTGAGAGCTATTTTGGGCAGGTAAACATTTAATCCCGACCACGTTAAGAAAACTGAGTTTTCAGTGAAAAACAAAAAATCTATTTTCAAATTTGTGAAACCAGTTACGCTAAATAAATTTTGCAAGAATGTTTGAATTAGATGCAGTTTATCTACTTACTTTGCGGTATAGTTTCAATTTTCTCTCATCCTCAGGTTGTAATAGGGCCACCAGGATCTGGCAAAACGACCTATTGTGGTAAAGTTTATAAATTTTATAAAGACAAGCTAAATCGGAAAGTGGAGGTGGTTAACTTAGATCCAGCAAATGAGAACATGAACTATTCACCTAAAATTGATATAATGCAACTGGTAACAGTTGAAGATGTTATGAAAAATTTAAATCTAGGGCCTAATGGGGCTCTAATGTACTGCATGGAGTATTTGGAAGAAAATTTTGATTGGCTGCTAAATCAACTGGTTGAAATCAAGGACAGCTACTTAATCTTCGACATGCCTGGTCAGGTAGAGCTATATACCCATCACGGCTCGATCAAAAAGATATTTCAGAAGTTGGAGAAATTGGGATATCATCTTTGTGCTGTGCACATGGTGGATTCTCATTATTGCTCTGATCCACCCAAGTTTATATCAACCTTATTGTTATCACTTTCTACCATGATGCAAATAGCTCTACCACATGTCAATGTCTTAAGTAAGGTAAGTTAACTGGAGATGACCACAGTCAAACATTTCAATTTAAGATAATTAAATTTTCTGTAATAATTAATTATTATTTTTTAGGCTGATTTGTTGAAGAAAAATGCATCAAAGTTAGACTTCAATGTGGATTTTTATACTGATGTTTTGGATTTGAATTATCTTTTAGACCTTCTGGATGAGGGGCCATTTACTAATAAGTATAAAAAACTCAATGCTGCAATTATAGAGCTAATACAAGACTACAGTTTGGTATGCTTTGTACCATTAGATGTCAATTCTGACAAAAGTTTGTTGGATTTGAAGTCTGCTATAGATAAGGTAAGAAAACTAAATATCCGACATTTTTTTAGTTTGCAATCATGTGATGTGCATTGTTATTTTCTAGCTTTTAAGGCTCAATTCCTTAAGCCCTGTTTTTACATCAGCCTGTTCAGAGTATTCTTAACACTTTGGGTCTAATTGTTTCATGGTTTGTATAGAGATGACTGAAAAACAATGTTTTCAGTTTCTTTTTTTGTCAAAAAATGCATTTTCGTGCATTTTTTCTTCAATCATAACTTGTTAACAAATAATGATCCTGCTCTCAATTTGTGTATGGATATTCCACTTTAAAGGTGGTTACTTCTTTCTTAAAAAAATAATTGCTTTTCTTGAAAACTCATAGGTGATCAGAATAGAAGCAGTTACCTGCTCAATCCTCCCATAGAAGTGGTATTCCAACTTATAATTTCAGCTGTACTATTTGTTAAGAAGCTAAGTTTGAAAAAAAAATTACATTATAATGCACAAAATATGCATTTTTTGCCAAGAATTAATTGACACCACTGATTTTTAGTCATATGTATACACAACATGAAATAGTCACATGGAGAGGATTTAGAATACCGCTCCACTCAGTTGAAAAAAAGGGGTGTAGACCTTAACAGCCTTTCTGATTTAACACCGTTAAATGATACTGACTTATTTTTAGGCAAATGGGTATATTTACGGAAGTGGAGAAGAAAGAAGTATTCAAGCATTATTGTCTTGTGCTGTTGGAGCTCGCACCGAGTCTGAGAGGTTTGATTCAGATTATATGTAATCATTATTCTTTTCTTTCTTAGAATAAATGATATTGATTATACATACTATTTTTCTTTTCTTCACACATATACACTTTAAACATATCTAATAAGTATTATGGTCATACATGTAGAACAATAGTTTTACATTTTCAAACCTTTATTTTCATGTAGCGTAAATGTACTATGAATTTCTAGCAAATACTGAGTGAAATCAAAATATAAATTGAACAATATTAATGTAAACAAAGCAAGGTTTTACTGACACATTTTATTTAAGTATCACATTTAGGAATAATTAATTCTCCCGCCTCTTTAGCTGCGTTTTTCCAACTGGGCTCTGAAAAAAGGGCATCATCATTTATTTGATTTTGGTAAGAATTCAGACAAGTTTACCTCAACTGCTTATTAAAGTCATCCTCTACGTTATCGTCTTCCCAGTTATCTTCCCAAACGCTTATATCTTGGTCATCTTTCTCCTTTCCAGTCCAATCTAGAAAAATCGAAAATAAATGCAAATCATGAAGATGCACATAACCTCTTTAAGTTACCTTCAACCGGAAATTCTTCAAATTCATCATCCTCCTCCAATACTCCGAGATCTAATTTCGGCTTCTCGGACATGACTACTTTATTTGTGATCAACAAAACTTGCCTTCCCTTCGTAATCTTCAAGAGACGATAAAATACAAACTTTATTCTTAATGCTTTTTCAGTCAACAACTGGTCAACAACAAAAAACTCTCTTGACAGTTTCATTGACGTTTTCTATTGACTGACAGTTGACGTCGTTGCATTAGTGTCACCTATACACCAGTCGCTTAAGTAACGGCTCCTAGCTAGATTTCTGCCTAATTACAGAATAGATTCACCAATCAAGAAAGATGGCAGATCATATATAAACAGTTGTTACACTTGGAGCAAGAGCTTTATCTCAGAAATATCGCCATATTATTGATTTGATATGCCTGAAAGACTAGAAATTTTACTCTACAATTTTCTATCTGTTCGGAATCCCCAGCAGATGGCAGTGGCCTTATCTTACGCTGGAAAATAAGATTCTATACGGCTTTGGGGTATTTTTTTCTGTAAATCATTACTTTTTGTTTGTTCCTCTCTTAAACCGTTTCTTGTTCGTGGGTGACCAAGGTCCCAACCACAGCTTTGTGGATCAAGTTCCCCACCTCTCGCCATTTCCATTTCTTTTATCGACGAAGCAGCGGCGCAGACAGAAGCCTAAATGACACAGCGGCTGCTATGAGGAGCTTAAAGAAACTTTGATAATCCAATTTGAATTGCTAGTAGAACTGGGACAAGCATGTAAATTGTTCCACAGTGTCGATACACTAGGATCGTTGTGATCGTCCATCTATGGAGGAATGGCTCAACTACACGCATTGTTGGTTGCATACGTTTTGTGACGCCGAGTAGTCTGTATTTCTGAGAAGAAAATATGTGTATTGCTCTGCATGTGTACAAAATCAGTGATATTTTCTGTGTGAGAAAATCATTACTGAATGTGCTGCCAATGAAGTATCTGTATGCACCTATGCATTGCCGTTTCCTTCTAGCTATAAATAGTATACAACTTATAGGTTAGAGTCCCAGTAATGCCATCTCTGAAGCAGATCTTACATCATTCAGAGCCAAACATTGATAACTGAAGCCTCATGATGTTTAGGCAACACGAGTTCACAGCGTCCATCGTCAGCTAGTGCTAAGGTCCGTATCATCAGTCGTCCCTACAATTGTAGGGCGCGTATATGGCCTCCTTGATTGTCACACTCCTATCTCCTTCAAAAATTTCTAGATTACACTTGTCCCGTGTCAGCGTTAGCGCTCTCCTATTGTGAAGATATGTTTTCTTTTTAAATTTTAGGAAATTTCAGGCTGATAAAACATGATATAACTCAAAAGCAAGCACAATTTGATGCAAATAGATGTTTGTGACATAACCTCAAAATAGAGTTCTGACACGGAGAAGTAGAAAACTATGACAATCAAGGAGGCCATAAAGGCGCCCTACAATAATTCTAGGGTCGACTGACGATACGGGCCTAAGTTAACATCTGGTAGAAAAACCTACATAATGTCACAAAAATACAATACAATGTCAAAAAAAATCGACATGATGTCACTATAGTCATAATAGTTTTAGCGTAGTAAGGAAAGTGTATATTTTAAGACATCTCTGGCTTAGATATCGTGTATATCGACTTGATTTTTCTAGAGAGACGCATATATAGCATACAATACTATTTCCCAAACCGCGCACATAGTAAAGAACCTCATAAAATATCAATGTTCGCCACTATCCGGTCGACAAAAGCAACTCTTCGAGACCGGAGAGCACTGACAAGGTATCGGCACGTCCCAGCAGAACATGCGCTTCCGCACTGGTGCACTCGCTCTACGGCTCCATCCTTCCCGTTTGTTGCGTACTTCCGGTTCGCCTGATTGTCGCCGGAAGACGTCCAGGAAGAGGCCACTTGCCGGCAAGATTCACGCCACTTAGGCTAAGTGTATACCAACTCTATACATCTGCCTTTACGGTGACATGTATCAAGATTTTCTTTATTATGTTGGTGGTGAAGTCTCATGGGTAAAGTAGAATAGTTCTTTATTGTCCAATGTAATGGTTAGCGTGCAATCATCTCTAGTTTCTTCTTAAAGGTGATGTCAGAAAGAAAAGCAACATAGTGTCAGTATTTTTATGTATATCTGGTTAAATTATACATTTCGACTCCGGCAGTTGAATCGATTATATGCCTCTACACGGCATATAGGTCCTAGAAAAATAAGCGGTATTTTCTAGTATCATGTACACCAGAGTCTTAAGATAATGAGATTAGACTCCGAAACCTCAACAAAACCTAATCCGGCATTGCATCTCAATCAGGTCAAATGAGAAAATGCGCAATACGCGTCAGTACCCAACCCAGACGTCAACAACCTAGAAAACAAAACGCCTACAAATTGGTTAAAAAACAGACACAAAAGTGGCACACCGATTACCGATACAGCACTATAGGAGTTGTCGATATTAATTTAATTTACGGTGAGTCTCTTCGAAATGCTACCGAGGCTTCACGAGTGCGCAGATCGTTTTTCAAGATACTCTGTGATTTCTGTCTTTGGAGCGAAATGTAACGTTTAATACACAAAATTTGAGTGAACACGGTTGACGAACTACGTGCGAGTTTAGAAATCTGCTGCATTCATTCGGGAAAAGCAGTCCATTCTAGAAGCTTTCACAGATGCTTGGCAACGTCAAGTATATGAATGTGCTTTTGAAACTATCGCAAACAATTTTGAACGGTACTTCGGTGACATCTAAAATGTTATTTTAGGGCCATATTTGTTATTCTGAGACTAACATTGCCGTAAGAGGTGTATAAAGGTCCAACAAAAAGAGTAAAGGGGCACGATAATCTATTGTTTAAATTTTGTACCCTAAATGTCCAGAAAGAAAATATTTAATAACGCTTACATATGCATAAGCGTTACCACGCGTAGCAGCTGTCTTTTTTAGAATTTTCTATATTGAGTCGTGCGCGGCCAGCGCGCCAAGCGCACTTGAGGTTATGTGGGGCTGCGGAGTTCGAAATTTTAACTGACTTTCATTATATATAATTAAACACTGGACGTGATGTGTAGGAGAGAAGCGCGAGAAACGTGAAATAGTGTTAGAAAGAGACAGAGAGAAGCACCTCCTTGCCTAGCAACCCTAGTGTCAAGGCCACAGACGTCATCGGCGCACTCTTTAACTAGCATACACACCACGTCAGCTAAATTTGAAACCATGTTCATCAATAATATAAATTTATGTCAATGAAAACAATTTTATTTACCACATAATGAGGCCAATAGTGTGCTTACTTTAGATTTTACCTTTAAAATGATGTCTACTAAGTAACTCAAAACGCTGACTGCTTTCATTATAACATGTTAATGTTCTTAACTATTGAAAAATCCAAATTTACGGACATCGTAATCATCCGTACGTCAACCATTTTTATACACCACAAAGTCTCTTTCAGTAACTTTTTGAATTTTTCTCGCCATAATGATAATTCCATATAACCCAACTCCATGCATTTTTTTTACTCTCCATTCGCTGTTTCACTACACATTAGATCTGTCATCTCATGCATAGCAGTTTCAAAAAGGAATTCACGAACGTTTAGAACACCCTATATATTTGAAAAACCAAGTCCATTTTTTCCTGCAAGCTTTTCCACTAAAAATGGTTCAATATTCTGGGTATTCTCCTTGTAAGTCAACACATTGTTTCTCCTTCAAATAATGCCACATTTCAAACATAGGATCCTTAATTCGTTTTATTTCCATGATCCCAACTAACAATTATCACTCCTATTAGAGTTGCAAAAATGATTATACAGTATTCCTTACACAGCATTGTATACTGTAAGAACATTGGCAATACCCTCTTAGAACAGCTATACAAGCGGAATGGGCATACCTAATAGGACACTTCAGTCATTTAAGAGGTTGCATAAGGGCTGCAGGTAACATTTATACAACAAAAGTGTAAGCCTCTTGCAGCCGCTATAGGACATTTGCGTCAGTGCAAGATTCAGTTTTTGTCAACTATACAACTATTCTGTTACGTGATTCTACTTTATTGCAACCAAACTATTTCTTATGTATTGCATAGACGAAGTGAAGAATATATAACTAACACATTACAGTCATCTTGTTTACTTACATTGTGAATTTCATACACAGGTATATGATAAACTTCTACACTGTGATATAGGGCAATTGAATTTCTTGCGGAGCAAATTTTATTGTGATTATCGTGCAAAGTAGTAATTTCGAACTGAAACGTAATTATTTAGTATTAAATAGAGGAATAAATGTTTGCCCAATATGGCTGGTGGTTGTGTATAATCATGGCATCGTCCTTGTTGTCTTCAGTTTATTAGAATATTTTAAGTGAAATACCGACAGAGTCCAATGATTTACCCAGAATTTGTACCAGATCTATATCTTCTGTTTGAACAGTTGATAAAACCTTTTGAACCAATATGTATGCGTTGTTTGTCTTAAATCATTGGTTATGGCATTTTAACAAAAATATGACAGCAGAAAGTTAGGTTATGGTGACGTTGTATACCAACATATTTAGCATATGTAAAGTTTGGCAAACGGATCTGCAACAGCGAAAGGAATGCGACCGAAAATATTCGATATTGCCAAATTTAACTACAAAAAAGCAGTAATGAAGTAATTTCAATGATTTGAAAATCGATTTTTCACAATTCCAAAAAATAATAATTCAAAATACTGAGTATTTTAATGGGTTGTTAGCTCTATTTGTATTTAATAACTATTTTTTACTACTGAATCGTATTATAAGTAAACATTTTTCCAAAGATCTTATCGACATCGGTTGAGCTGGCAACAACCACCCGAAAGGTATATTGGACACCGCCTGAACGAATCTGATTGGCGGATATCCTCACATGTTTTGTCGCCATGAGAAAATTCGACTCCCTATTGGTTAGCGTCCCAGACAATTTTTTGCTTCTTTCTTAGAATATCCATACTATTGAAAAGTCCAGTGGCGTAGGTTTTATCTCCGTTGATTGTCGTGTATGAGTTTTACAACTATTATTGTTAACTATTTATTGTTCTATTAAGTTTGTATGTTTAGTGCTGTGTGTTTTTGAATAGTTTAGTGTTTTGTTATTTATTATTGTTATTCGTTTTAGTATTATTTTTTTAAAATGAACCAATTTACTCGCGGAAAGACGATTCATAGCCAAACAAGAGAAGTGATTGCGAATGTTTATAGGTTTTTAATAACAAATATGCAATAATTGTAG